AACAGGGTAATAATAAAAGAGTGGTCGATTTCCAACCTATTCAGATTGGAAATACTTTAGAGACAAGCTTATTTCTATGAGGATGCAAACAATATGTTGGCAGGGAACACAGGTATTTTTGTACATGTGTAGAGATTTCACACAAACACAGAAACATAGAAGAGAGAGGAGGAAGGACACACACACCCCTATGCGGGGGGTGTTAACATCTCATAACGGGACTCAATACATCTGACAACATGGAGGCATAATTGCAGATGGTTATGATAAGAGTTAATAGGGAACATAATGGATTTTACAAAGGAGGTGTGTGAATGTGAAGCCCGAGCAGGGGCAGGAGGAGACGGGGGAAGAGAAAGAATGCGAGAGATACAAAACAATGAGGAATACAAAAATGTATTCTACAAAGGAAAACATCAAATACAAGAGAGAAAGAGCGAATAATGCAAACAATATGAAGAGAAATGAGCTGAAACAGCAACAGCATGAACGTCTGAAGGTAAAGAGAATGAGTAAGAAATAGGGATAACAGTTTAATACTAAAAGAAAATCATAGTGGAGTAATGCAAGAAAGGGTAAGGTAAGAGAACATGGACAATAGAAATAAAAAGAAGACAGAAGGAGAGAAAGACAACAAAAGACAAAGAGAGAAGTGAAGGAAGACAGAAGGAAAGAAAGGAAGAAATAACAAAAGAAAGATAGAAAGAAAGGAAGGAATAAAGAAGGATAGATCGAGAGAAAAAGAGAAAGATAGAAGTAGACTTACGGCCCGTCCACATGGCGGCGTGCGTTGAAGCTTCAACGCTTCTGCCCATTCACTTTGAATGGGGTGACGTCACGCTTTGCCGAACTGCATTGTGGTTCCGTCGCTACGCGTTGCTCGCTTCAAAAGTTGAGCAATGTTCAACTTTTGAAGCTTCGACGGAAGCCAATCTAATCATATGCCAGTACAAGCTCTAGCCAATCAAACCACGTGCTTGTGTGTCCGGGGCGGGAGATTCATGTGATTGGTTGTTGGTCAAGCTTCAGACATGCCCGCCGGCAAGCTTCAACGCACGCCACCATGTGGACGCTGCGTAAGGAAGAAAGATAGAAAGAAAGGAAGGAATAAAGAAGGATGGAAAGAAGAGTCTCACCAAGGAAACAATGTCCAGCAGGAAATCGACCAGCTGACAGAACTCCACCAATGAGAGCTCTGCAGGATAAAAGCTCCCAGCATGCCGTGGTGCATGTGTGCTGCTGTTCAATGTCCTCCTGCAACAGTTACAACAAGAGACATTATTTGGAGTTACAGTAGGCAGTTAGCAGTTAACTTCAGACAATTTGACTTTGAGTTCTGGTGTGGGTGTGGTGGCAGTGGGAAAGGCATCTTGGCACACTTTATCCAATAGTAGTTGTGTGTATAAAGTAAGAACTTGACACAAACAAACCTGCAGCCCTCCTCAAACCATCGAGCGATGTAGTCCCACATGTAGTACGGCTCAAACGAGTTGAACAGGAGATTGGCTGTTTTGATCACTTCTGCCGTCTTCTTGTTCTCCCGTAGTTTACTAAGAAACAGGAGAAATGAGCATCAATGTTGCACAATTAGCATGCTTTCATTTACAACATCTGTACACTCCTATACATGCCTTTTTAGGATATAAGGGTCCACTGTCATATGACAGATCGGTTTGTCTTAAAAATAAATGTATATAGAAATAAACTATTTTATTTTGAACATGTGAAGATGGTACCTGTGTAATTTGTTTGTAACTCATTCTTTTTTATGTCATTTATTGTAGATAAACTGTTGACACTGATTTTCTGAATTATATGGTTCTTATTATATTTACCGATTTTTTCTGTTTGCTGTAACATCCATTTATTTTTACTAGACCATTTTCTTTGTGTTACAATGTTCTAATGTAATTGTAATTATGAAATGTTAATTGCTTTACCAAATCCAATTCTACCTATGTTATTCTCAGATGATTCTACAGCCTAACTTTTAGCATGGGGTCCATTTAACTTTTGCGTAAGAGACACAGACCTGCTGAGGTGTGTTTGGTCTTTACTGAATGAACTCTGGCTCTGGAGGTCCAGCTCTGTCCGGCACTGTGTGTGCAGAGTCCGAAACACCTCGATCAGAACATCCTCTAGGATTGCTGGACCTGGAGACATGAGAGATGATGTACAGAGTGGTTATATAACCTTATGTGAGGCTGCTTGCGGTACATGCATCATTATATACTAGGGATATAATGATACCAAAAACTCACGGTACGATAATATCGCGATAAAAAGTCCACGGTACGATATTTATCGCGATATTGAAAAATTAAGGGAAAAAAAAGTGAATTTTCTTCTTTTTTTTACTTGAATATTTTTTTCTTTATTAAATAATAAATCTGATTTGTACAGCATTTTAGTAAGATACTAGTATTTTAAAGTGTCAACAATATAATAATCAGACCCTGCAATAGAATAAATCAAGTTTCACTTTAGTTTTTCAAGTAACTCAACTCTAACTCACTCACTCAGCATCATCAAGGTTATCTTTTAGGAATATGAGCATGTCCACATTTCCAGGTAGAAGCTGGGAGGTTTGGGCGTTTACAATATCCCCTGCTGTGGAAAAAACTCTCTTGCTTGGTACTGATGTTGCTGGGACAGATAGATATGCTTTGGCCATGGGTGACAGCAGTGGGTAAAACTGTGCATTGTCTCTCCACCACTTCAAAAACAATGCCGTTTTTGCCAAGAAGGTGAGGCTTATTGACAGGGCGAGATATAAATATACTGTTGGTACTTGTCAATGTCTCTAGGTATGTACATGTAGCCAGTCCTTTTGTGTTATCTGTTGTTTTATGTTCATGTTGTAACCTACTTTCTGCCATGTTGGACAGGTCTTCCTTGAAAAAGAGATCGATTATCTTAATGGGACCATCTGGCTGAATAAAAGGTTTTATATAAAAAATAAATAAATAAAAAAATATTTTTCAAAAATTCAAAAAAATCGCGGTAGATTTAGTCAGTCTCATGACGGTATTGAGACATTTATTTACCGCAATATCGCGATATTCGATATATCGTTACATCCCTATTATATACGCATTAACACTAACTAGACTGTTGGTGTCTACACATTCAGAGACTGGTTACCAAGTTCCGGTTTGTCCAGCAGACTGATGAGGATGCGAAATGGCTTGAGGTCGTGCATGAGGACGCTCTCTTCCTCCCCGCCTCGGGCCTTGCCCTGCAAGATCCCAACCATCGCCTGAAAACACACAAACGCACATATACACACTTTTATTTCAGTAAAATATAAAAACACCTCTGAAGCCTTTTTTGACGCAGCAGAGGGGACATGTTTTTTTTAAATCTTTTTTTCTTTTAAACAAGCCAATTCCATATTTGCATTGAACCCCCTTTTATTTGTGTGTGTGTGTTTCACGCTTCGTCTGCCCCATAATGGTGTAAAGCCAGGAACAGATTGTCTCTGTAGTACCAACCTTCTCCCAATGGAGGGTGCTCCAAAAACTACCTCAGAGCAGATGGCAAGAAAGCATAAATATAAAACAAAAACAAAAAATCCCTTTCAATAACCAAAGTTCCCCTCATGGTCGCTCTGTTTGACGCCTGTTCCAACCCCTGGAGTACCAGAGCTCATTACATGCCAAGAGGATGTGGGTTGTGGGATGAAAAGTATTAAAGGGGCCCTATTCTGCAATTGAATGCCTCTATGACATGTTTACATGCTCATACCCTCTGTCTGAAACCAGATCCCAGTCTGCTCTGATTAGTTGACCGCTTAGAGATGTCCCACCCCTTAGCCTATCACGTTCAATGTGTTAGAGTGCTAGCCAAGCGAAAAGCGAGTGCTACATACAGTAGATATGTCACAATGTTACGGAAGTGATAAAAGGAGTCCAAGTGCGGTATTTAAGGCAGGAGTGTGTGGGAGAGAAACTCCCTCTGGAGGGAACTTGAGATTTTAGCCTTTGCAGACCATTGACGTGCACAAAAACCTATATAACATACTACAGGGAAGACCCCAAAAAGCTTAATTGGGCCTCTTTAAGAGAAAACTTGTGTGAAAGGAAACCAGATCAGCAAAATTCAAGACAAAACATAAACTTATTTGGAAGCTACTTTTAAACATAAGACACCATATTCCATTTTGTCTTTGCAAATGGCTTAGGACCTCACCTGGACCAGCATGTCTTTAGAGAAGGAGTTGAAGTATTGGCTGGCGTGCTCCTCTGGGTTGCTCTGCCGAGTGCTGCGGGGGCCTGTTCTCACACCGTTGTTTTCAAAGCCTTCAATAAACAAAGACATAAATGTTATAATGGCACAAACCTTTAGACGTACAGTACAAATCAAACATAAATTATTATTATTATTATTAAAAATAACATAAGCTTGATGCGTTCAGCTTCCATCCTTAGGCATGCAGACACTTACCAGCAAGTTCATCGGCAGCGAGTTGCAAACAAGAGAAAATAAAGTGAGACTACAGCAGATATGAGCCTAACGTGTGTTTCACAAAAGACAAATACAACTGGAACACAGCATTCAAAACGTAGTGCCGGAGCAAATCACAAAACAGAGCAATGGGTGTGTAAAGGTTTGTACACCAGGGTTCCCACAGCTGTCCATGTAAATCACATATGTCAAACTCAAGGCCCGGGCGCCAAATCAGGCCCTTGGTGGATTTAATTTCGGCCCGCAGGATAATTTTTAATTGTGTAGAGAGCTACATAGATTTAAATGAGAGTGTTGATAATGTTTATTTTCGGGCACCTGTGTGGGCTTCAGGGGGGGGGGAGGCAGGGGTTGGGCTCAGACAGAGCAGTCAGGATAACTGTAGCCTGCATCTTGTGTATGTGGTGGTATGAGAGAATGTGGAAATCAGAAAAGTAAAATACCCACCTTGCAATCCGTGTTCCTCATTTCACAATAATGACGTTTTCTTTAGTCTGGTGGAAATATGCTCCGCCTTCTCTGGGTGGTCAATGGTTTACTTTAGTTTTTGAGATATTTAAAGAGGACTTGTTTTTTCTCCTCCTGTTTCTTTTGCCTTTGTTTACAGCTGTGTGTAAAGGCATACCGGTGAGTGTATTCATATTTATAAACCTCAAACAGAAGAAGATTATTTTGTAGCTTTTCCATTGTTTGTGCTATTAATGATATTTCCATGGTTTGCTTTATTGTTACAGACCACACCCTAAACAAATCAACATCACTGGCAAAGTCTGATTCCCTGTTCTTACATCGGGACACATACGCATCTCGTGCGCTAACAACCTGACCCCCGGAGCCCACATCTCCTTTATACGAGTACTTCCCCAAACTGCTGCTGATTTCACATTATAAAAAGGACTTCATAAGGAAGTACAACTGACCCACTGTCTGTTTTGTAATTCACAGATGTTTTTTTCAATCTGACAAGGAACTCATCTGTCTTGTCTGTAAGGACATCTTTAAGCAGCCTGTTGTGTTGTCATGTAGCCACAGCTTCTGTAAAGACTGTCTGCAGACATGGTGGGGGGGGGGCAACTAATTAGCATGTGTCCGTGCTGTAATAAAATATCCCCGACATGTGATCCACCATGTAACCTGGCATTACAGAATCTGTGTGAGGCCTTCGTATTGCAGAAAATAACCTCAGAAGCTCTCTGCAGTCTGCACTCTGAGAAACTGACACTTTTCTGTCAGCAGCATCAGGAACCAGTGTGTGTCATCTGCAGAGATTCAAAAACACACAGCAACCACAGATTCACACCCGTCAATGAAGCAGCCGAAGCCCTCAAAAAGGAGCTCCAGAAATCCCTGAAGCCCTTACAGGAGAAACTGAAGCTCTTTGAACAAATTCAAGGAAACTTTGGGCAAACAGCAGAACACATTAATGTCCAGGTGCAACAAACAGAGGGGCGAATTAAGGAGCAGTTTAAGAAGCTTCACACGTTTCTACAAGAGGAGGAAAAGGCTAGGCTGGGTGCTCTGAAGATTGAAAAGGTACAGAAGATGTCAATGATGGACAGGAAGATTTCGGCCCTGAGCAGAGACATAGAAGCTCTTACAGAAACAATCAAAGCCACAGAGGAAGAGCTGAGAGCTGGAGACGTCTTATTCCTGCTGAACCAACAGGAAACAGTGAAAAGAGTGCAGCAGCGCCTCCAGCTGGAGGATCCACAGCTGCACCTAGGGGCTCGGTTATGGCCCCTACACACGGCGGCGTGCGTTGTCGCTTGCCGGCGGGGGGGGCTGAAACTCGACCAACAACCAATCACATGAATCTCCCGCCCCAGACATACAAGCACGCAGTTTGATTGGCTAGAGCTTGTACTGGCATATGATTCGATTGGCTGATGCCTCCATCGAGGCGTCAAAAGTAGAACATTGCTCTACTTTTGCAGCGAGCACCGCGAGAGAAGCTACGCTTTGCTCCCACAATGCAGTTCGGCGAATCCTGCCATCCTGCATATCAATGATGTTCTTGGAGTTTTAGGGGAAAAAAATAAATATTTGATGCTATCCTCAGGTTATCTTGATTATCTAATACTGAATATTTGCTGCTGATTTCGGTGTTTAAAATGTGATAATATGAAGAAAAAAAATGAATTGTAAATATAATCCAAATAAACGATTTGTACATGAATGCATTACATTATCAAGGACATTGATTCATTTGTCTTCCATTTATTCATTCATGAAATATATACATTCTATAGTTGAATAATTTACTATGGCTTGATTTTTGACCTCACAATACATGTAATGTAACCTTACATTACTGATTATGTTTTGATTGTTTAAACTACTTTTAAGAATAAAATTGAAAGTTTTTGTATCATGAGTATTCATTTGAGTCTTTTTATAACACAGAAGTTGAAGTATTTTAAAGAGGATAAAGTCGTACAGTATAAGAAACAGTCACAACATTTCAAGATTGAGATTAGATTTCAAAATTAGATTTCCAATATTTTGAGAAAATAATACAAATATATAGAGGAAGTAATCCTAATATTTAGAATATGTCGCAACTTGTTGAGGTGGGAATTCAACTGATACTTTATTTTCCCATTCAGTGTTTTGCAAAGGCATTGCAGTGATTTATTATCCCAACCAGAACATCCGATGTTTGTCTGAATGTGTGCGTCTGTATCTGTCCGTCTGTCCGTCCACAGACTCTTGCATTTTAATGGACGCATCAGCCAAATATTTCGTGTGTTGGACTATTGTTTCCGCTTGATATTATGAATTAATCCTATCAAAATTATTAGGCTTAAACAAACCCTAAGGAACGATTGTGGTCCAACAGTGTTCATGATCTGTGTTTGGATCTACACTGATGCATTAGATCCTAGCTCAATATCCCAGTGCGAAGTGTTAGTGTGCAAAGAGTAAGGTTGGGTACCGAGAACCGGTTCCGATTCGGAACCGGTTCCAACATTTCGATTCCAACGGCATCATTTAGACATGTGAATTTCGGTTCCGCTTTTCGATGCCTGAGGAAATGTTTCTCGCCGCTCTCCGTAGGCCTACTGTATGACTGCGGCGGGCCGGGAAATGTAGCGTTGTACCTACACTTCCTACAGCGTAACCTGGGACCAGGGCCAGCCCGTCGCACTGGCGTTATAGATGTTCGCCTTGGGCGCCAGATCTGTGGAGGCGCTGCGCTGACAGCTCTGGGAGGGAAACAAAATGTTTTGACCGTTGGTGCTCATCCTAATTTTCGGCCTTGATGCAACATTCATCATTTAGTAAATGTAACACCCTTTTCATCCCGGTTACACTTTTCATTTGCCCTGTACGATGGGCGCTGTAAGTGATGAAAATGGGGGATGTTGGCTTGTCTGGCACCCGCAGCTCACAGCCAAAGTGCGAGTGAGCGTGGGAGCGAGCGAGGGAGAGAGCTGTTTTTATTAGCATCTGGTGCTAGCTGCTCTAACGGAAGAAGAAGATGTTTCTACAATGATGTGGAGGGAGAGTCCTCTCCAGTCAGACTGAGAGGCTGATGACTTCAGCTCAGTGAGGTAAAGGACTCTGAGTGTTTAGATAGTTCACTTTAGTCTAAGACCCCGGCCACACGAGGACGAAAACGGCTAAACGCATAGGATTAACGCAAACGCAAACAAGCTTCCGTCCACACGCAATAGTTATCCGGATAGTGTCTGTCTACACGAGACCGCTCCGTTTAGCTCCAACCGCTGGAGAAGCTGCAGTACATATGCAGGAGCCTGTACGTGGCGCTGTAACGGCCCGTCCACACAGCGGCGTGCGTTGAAGCTTCCAACGCTTCTGCCCATTCACTTTGAATGGGGTGACGTCACTTTTAGCCGAACTGCATTTTGGGAAGCGACGTGGAGCGTTGCTGCTGTAGCTGGCGTAGCTGGCGTCAAAAGTTGAGCAATGTTCAACTTTTGACGCCTCGACGGAGGCGTCAGCCAATGAAATCCTGTGTATGCAAATCTGCCAGTACAATCGCTAGCCAATCAAACCGCGTGTATGCTGGGAGAGACTACGCAGGTCATTTCCTCATATTCAAAAAAATGGAGGGAAAATTCATTATAGCGGTAGTGAATCACCCGGTGCTGTATGATCAGTCTGTTGATCTACCGGGATACAAACCGGAGGAGCGAGGCATGGAGGGAGGTGGCAGAGACAGTGGGTGAATCTGGTAGGTTTTCGCCTGTTTGGGGATTTTATATCCAGTTTACTTCGTTTTAACATTGCTATTGCTTTGTATGTCGGGGGCAGGAGATTCATGTGATTGGTTGTTGGTCGCGTTGCTCGCAAAAAATCCCCAAGCTTCAGATACGCCCACCTCCAAGCGTCAACGCACGCTGCTGTGTGGACGCTCCGTAACATGCTCCACAAAAGCAGCGAAGAAGCATGGTTGTCATGGTTGCCCTTCTGTTTATTCTCCGCGGTGGGGGCCGAGGGAACCGGGCAGAGTTTTTTGCCAGTCAATGTGTATTCAAGTTTAAATCTTCCGACAAAATTATAAAAGTGCCGGTCAAATGTCTTCTTTGTTATTTATTGAGCTTTAAAACAAATGAATAACGACTCTATATAACATAATAATAAAATACACGGAGCCTCTCTTTTTCCTCCCTCTCTTCGGACAGCGCCAGTGTCTGTCTCATGCAGCAGCTGATCCAGTAATGAGTGACCCGGCCGACAGTAAAATTAAACATATTTATAACTAGGTAGTTTGAGAGGTGTCTCCGTCCTGTCAGATTAGACTTCACTCGCGTTTATGTCCATATCGAGAGAAAGATAAATAATCTGAATTCAGTGGGCAGTTTACTTTGACGCGGGGGTGAGCAGCAGAGGTGGAGAGAGGCGGGGCTATTGCGCAATCATTATCAGAAAATGATCGCTGAAGCTGCAGTACATATCCACAAAAGCAGCGAGTAAGATCCCCCCCCGGATGTGTAAGTCTGCTGTAGATGTTGCACAAAGAACTGTAGCATGGTCAGTAGCGTCCGGAGCACAATAGCAACTCTGCGATCCGCCATTGTTGTTGTTGTTGGTGGCGAAAAACATCAGCAATGGCGCGGGGTACGCGGAGGTGAGCAGCAGAGGTGGGGAGAGGCGGGGCTATTGCGCAATCATTATCAGAAAATGATCGTATAGGGCGCACACACGGAGCTGTTTGACCCCCCAGAGCGTTGCGTATGCCGTTCTATCCACCTTGGGACCCGTTATCGTTTCCTCAGTCGTTTAGTGCCGTATGCGGTCGTTCTCGTGTGGCCGAATGGTCTATATCAGTGTTTCTCAAACTTTTTCATACCAAGGACCACTTAACCAATAAGAAAACACTCGCGGACCACCTAACTCCACAAATATCCAAAAACACATCGTTTTTTACAAATCGCCTGACAATGGTACAAACAAGTGGCAACATGTGTGATGAAGGTGTTTATCTGGGCTATATCATGCAATCGAAAGTGAAACTTAAGCTCGTTCCATTGCGGAGATATTCCCGGGAGAGTGCAAAATAAATGTATTTATTTCAAATGTGAAATTTTACCAATATACTCACGGACCACTAGGGGGCGCTCACGGACCACCAGTGGTCCGCGGACCACACTTTGAGAGGCACTGGTCTATATGACACTAAACAGTAACGCAAACGGACGTTTTTGTCCTCGTGTGGCTGCAGCCTAAGTTATCTCAGTGGGTCTCAAACGTTTTGATCACAATTTATGTAAACACATATTTCCAAGGCACTCCTTTATAATTATTGGGATTAAACAGGTTTGAAATCATTCCAATGTATACTATAGGACAGTAAACCAGACATATCGTTTTAAACTGGAGATAAAAAAATATGCATAAATAAAATAGTAAATAAGATATGAATGAACAACAAAAATAAAATGTATTTGTTATTGGCTATGGTAGGTTACTGGTTATGTTCATATACTTATTTGATTATTAAAATGTAAAACGATCTTTTTCATATAAGCTGGTCCATGCCTTTGTCTCCTCCAGGCTGGACTACTGCAATGCACTCCTCATCGGGATCCCTAACAAAAGCATCCAGAAGCTCCAATACATTCAGAACAGCGCTGTTAGGATCCTGATGAGGGTGCGCAAATATGATCACATCACCCCCATCCTTAAAGCACTACACTGGCTACCCGTGGAACTGAGGATTGAATTCAAGGTCTCCGTCCTCACCCACCAGTGTGTCCATGGAACTGCCCCTCCCTACCTCAAGGAACTCCTCACCCCCCATACCTCCTTGCGGACCACCCGCTCCAGCAACTCCAACTTCCTCAAACCCCCCAGGACTAAGCTCCGTACTATGGGAGACCGGGCCTTCTGCTCGGCTGCTCTCAGTCTGTGGAATGCTCTCCCCGACCAAATGAGAGCACCACAGACCGTGGAGGCTTTTAAAAAAGGCCTCAAAACCCATCTCTTCAAAAGAGCCTTTGCCTAGACCTTTTTATTACCCTTTTATTTATTTTTTATTTTTGTATTGCTTTTTATTAATTCTACCGTGTTGTGTAATGTTTATTTATACTGTTCATGCTCACTACTTGTAGCACTTCGGGATTTGAAATCAAATATGAAGTAGTTTATAAATGGAACCCATTATTATTATTATTATATGGGTGTTTAGAGTTGTACCCCCTAGATCTACAGGGTTCTTACACCTTTTCCAAAGTCAAATTCAAGCACTTTTCAAGCATTTTCAAGGTGCATTTTCCAGCTTTTCAAGCATCTTACAGCTGTTGTACATTACATATTTATATATACATACTCAAATGATTATTTCCCTACCTCACATTAAATCAGATGTTCTTTATGCTATAAACAACCAAATGTGTGTTTCGTGATAGCCTTCTACACAAGGATGAAAAATTAAAGAAAATAAAACTAAGTTTAATATTTCAAAATGAGTGACCCATCTGTATGTCCCATATAACCTGTCTGAGCCAATATAAAACAATCAGCCAAATAACTTTTCAATACATTATTGATTACTATTTTTGAGGTACTTTTAGGTTGGCAGTAAACACAAGTCAGAGGTACATGGTGTACTTCTACTCCACTACAGTTCAGAGGTACATGGTGTACTTCTACTCCACTACAGTTCAGAGGTACATGGTATACTTCTACTCCACTACAGTTCAGAGGTACATGGTGTACTTCTACTCCACTACAGTTCAGAGGTACATGGTGTACTTCTACTCCTCTACAGTTCAGAGGTACATGGTGTACTTCTACTCCACTACAGTTCAGAGGTACATGGTGTACTT